TAGTTCTAATGTTCTATGATACAGTTCTCCATCGCTTTTAAGCTTTCTATCCGATTTGCTACACTTGATCAACTACTTCACAAACCTCTGTGGAACCCTCAAAACAAAATTTCCTGACTTTTCACTGACTTTGACGAGAACTAAGATTTTACCTGACTTTTTGCAAAATTCCCCGGTGACTTTTCCCTGACCTTGAAAAATTTGCTGAGTTTACAGACGGATGTATGGAAAATTAAAAACACGATTACCCACTTTCCAGCTTACCTCTATATATATATATGCCCCTCAATTTTAAACAGAGAAATGCGTGGGCCTCCATATTACCCTCACTATTCAACGTTTGTGCAGATTTTGGAAAGATTTCCGTATAACCCCCTACCAATCAAAAACAAAGCCGTAGTCCCAATGGAAATCCGTTGTTTTTCCTCTGCTTTCCTTTATCCAAGAATTGAATGCATAATCAAGTATGGGGTTATAATACGGAATTCTTACCCAGATTTTTAATGTTACAGACTTTTTTTGACATTGCGTACAAACACTTCTCACTCTGTTTGCCCCGTTTTCAAAATGGCGGATTTTACCGCGAAAAGGTCTATTGCAGCATGGAAAAGCAAACACTGTACTGTCCTTTGTTATCTAGTGGCCCCTGTATTGACATCAATCAAAACAAATGGAAATTTCGGCTCATCCTCGGTGTAAAAACATATAAAGCTCACGAGTAACGTAAAACAAAGACAACAAAACATTAAAAACAAAAGCGTACAGCAAAACAATTCCTCATGAAACAAAGAAAACCTCGTCCAGTTTTTACACCGAGGATGGCCCGAAATTTCACGCTCTCAAAACATGCCAAAGGTAGCGAATCTTTATGGCAAAGTTGAATTCGCAATCGGCCTAGCTTTCATGCAAAATTCTTCTGGAACCAAGGTACAGCAAAAAGCATTTATTCGCAGCTAAGACAACTATCCATATAACGCAGTTAATTTTGCATGACTAACCAAAGCCGTCAGCGAAGCGAGACGGCGCCTTTGTTTCTCTCATTATGAGAAAAGTTGTCCAAAATGGGAGAACACTAGCGAAATCTATCCGATGAAACACTGCTTCTGCACTTGCGACTGAAAAATTCCCGCTCATGTCGACGCTCTTGTTTGGTCACATGAATATTACCATGTGATGCGTGCCCTCAGGCATTGTGGTCTTTCGTGATGAGAGGGCATGCGCTTTACATGCCATATAAAATGGCGGAAAGCGAGATCGCTACAACATTCATTGAAGAGAAGTATCCCTTCAAAAACCCAAAAGCACTTTTTTAATGACAGCAGGATAAAACGGTACAACTCACCTCATATGAAGATGAGCAAACTCCCGAGGAAAGTGGGAATGTTTCGCAAGGAAATCGCAAATCAGAGTATTCAGATGACCGTAATGACAATGCGGACTTCAGTATGTCGGAGACTATGTCGGATATGTCATTGCCTTCATCTCCGGACCATCAAGGAATGTCTTCACCTGAAGACAACAGCGATGATAATTTGGACATGAATTGGAGCGGTGTCTCTGAAGGTGATGGAAGAGGCTATCGTGAAAGCTTTTCAGATAATGAAGAGAAATCAGTTTGTGGCGACATCTCCAATCAAACAGAAATTTTTAAGGATCCCTTTGTGTACCCAGGTTCACCACTTAAACTGTCTGAGAGCATTCTTTTGATCCTTACTTTGGTGGTTGCTCACAATTTAAATGGAAATTGTCTTTCAGGTGTAATTGCTTCGATTAATTTGCACTGTATTCCTGGATTACTTAACAAGTGTGTCAGCTCATTGAATGCTCTTAAAAAGTACTTTGCAGACTTGATACATGCATGGGCCATAAGGTAGAGCTGTACACAAGCCATGAGACCCACACCATCAGAGCTTATCCTTGCTATGTGGTTTGCCTCTTTTAGCCACATGTATTTAAAGAATTAGAGGCACAAGAATTCAGGTATTTCTCTTTGGTATTTGTAGTTCAGAAGAATCTCCCTTTCTATCAAATAATTTAAGCAATTTTGTTATGATGACAGCAGAAAAAATGCAGCCTAGCTTCACCAAAAAATTGGATTGCATTAATTTATTTGAGAGAAAGGTTCAAGCAGGATACATGTGAGCTATCGTTTACGTAGAGGCTGATAGTTTCTAAAGAAACTGTTTGGGGCTGCGTCGGTAGGGGTAACGAAATAATTTTAATATATCAACAAAGTTGAAATGGTAAATTGGCCACCGTTACGATTATAAAAGCTGACGTTATCGTTTAAGTAGGATTGGTAAAATGTGAAATATTTAATGATTCACGATCAGATCTGCATGCAGGAGTATATATAATGTGCCTCTAAATAGAGATTGATATAACCACTTTTCCATTTTAAGTATATTATTCATAGTGTAATAAAAATGAAAACAGCTCTGCATCATGTAATATTTGAACCCTACAATGGAATTAGGGACTCCTCAATTTACTGTATCAGTCCATGCAAGGCTATATCTATAAATATGAGCAAACATAAATGCTACATGTGCAAACTTGCATACATGTTACATAACTATATGTTTTCATCCTTGCCAATTTTCATATATGTCACATATATGCAGACATATGTGACATATATGTAGAAATGACTGTAGCATTTTAACTATATGTCACATATATGTGCAACGATTGAACCTATGTCACACATATGTCACACATATGTAGATTTGATAAGGGTGTATCGGTGAAAAAAAATATGTATGTAGCGGACACTTAGCCTGGTAGAAGTTTATTTGACGGCTGTTAACGGGTTACTGGCGTTATTTAAGCTATGGTCTTCCAAATTATACTTCTCAGACTGGTATTTTGCTCTTTACTGAGCAACCTTAATACACAGTACCTTTTCTGGTTGTGACCATCGTACTTGTTGGCTCAGTTGCTGTTGTTGAAGATGATGGAGAGAGTGATTTTAAGGAACTTGTATCGACTGGCAAACTTCCAAACTTGCCTTGATCTACGGCTTTTGTCAGATTAGATATCACTTGGTTAACTGTAACATCTGTGCTGAATTTCAACAGAAATTCTACGACTATACTGCCGGGCCTAAAAATAGACAGTGACAGTCAGACTGCATGTGGCTACAGGTGTAACACAATTTATATAGCATTGAAAAGAACTAGAGGTTGTATAATGACGCTAGAAGGTAGTGTGGCGGAATATTTGTCTCACAAGCAAAACAGAAAACCTGCCGCATCCCACCTAATTATGACTACCGTGTCCCTCAAAAGAAAAATGATTCAAGAATATACTGACTCATTAACTTTCAACCTGTAATTTGACGGTAACAAATAACAACAGTTACCTAGCTGTTTCAACAGTCTGGCAGTTTCGTAGTGAGGCAGAAAGCTTGCTGTTCCTTGTGTGTTTGTTTGTTTCTTTAAAGATTTGTACAGTGTACAGGTAAGAGAACAATAGGACACATAGTCCCCTACTGGGTTATTGGTATGACGAGGATCTTCTTGTTTGTGCACTTCATGCGATGCTTTCAGAACGAGGAATACTCGTTGTTTGTGCTCTCGGCGCGGTGCTTTTAGAGCGAGGAATGCTCTTATTGTTTTTGCACTTTGCGTGGCGCTTATTTAGTAGTGCGAGGGTCTTCTTGTTTTGGCTCTTCGTGCGGTGATTTTAGAACGAGGAATACTATTGTTTTTTTTTTGTGCGTGGCGCTTTTTTAGTAGAAAAATACTCTTGCTGTTTGTGTACTTCGCGCGGTATTTTAACCAAAAGGAATACTCTTGTTCTTTGTGCATTTTGTACGTGATCTGTTCAAATCGTACGAGACGACACACTAAGTCATGGCCGGAGAGACTACAATTCAGATTAACGGATAGACTGGAAAACATTACGACTCGTGAGTACATTGGACGACCTGCTCGAGCCGCGCGACTCGTGAATACATTGACTACTCGTAACGATCCGTGGTATTGAACTTACTTGGAATGAGTCTCCAGGAGACCTTAACCAAAGATATTTTGAGGTTTCTGTTTTTAGAATATGTGAAAATACATTGAACGAGAAGAAAAGAATCATATTTCAACGGCTTTCACGTAGGCATTACGACGGGGATGCTGTTGCCCATCTGGACTTTGCCTCTGTGTGTGGAGTACGTGATACAATGCAGGTTCTTTGTAAAGAAATGACACGTGGTCAGATGAGGTCCTAGTTCGCATAAGGCAAATTTGATTGGTAGAAAACATCAAAGCACGTGAGAGTTGTGCTGAAAATTTACTAACACTTAGATTCGTCTGAAATTTTTTGAGCCGGTTATGTCGTAAAATTTCAGCTGTTTACTGGAAAATGTCATTTTACCAGGGAAACCAATAGTGAAACACGTAATTGTTTTCGGAAAATACCGTTTAAGCACAAGATCTTAACCATGGAGAACTTCTAGAAACAAAATGACGAATATTGGCATCGCAGTCTACACAGAGAGCAAATAAAACATGATGATCCTTTCGACCGTAGCCAAAAGAGCACCCACAAGGCAAAGACAAGGTTATCGATCAAATGTGAAGTAAATTTTACTATAGTCAGCTAGACTAGCCCTTACAAAACAAACGCTCCAGTGATAACTTCATATTTCGCCTATTGCTGACGGTGTGTGCCTTGCAAGTGAAAGAGCGGTACACAAAACAGGTTTTAACCTGGAAATGTTAGAAAAATCCACTGATGACCTTTCCAATCCCGACAGATCATAGCGAAAAAGTCCTCACAAAGTACACGAACCGTTTTTCGATGAATTATGAGTTTCTTTCTCTAACATGAAAAACAATGGAAACGTTGTTACTATAGAATCATTTTTGTGGTTGTTGCTTGTCTATCCTATTGTATTTAGGTTTAAACAAAATTTTCAACTGTTAGTAGTCAAATGAGACAATGCCTATTGACTGAGTTTGATCGGGCTCATGACCTCAGCCAAATATTTTACCGTCTGGCCCTTCGACTCAGTCAATAAGTGGACATTATAAGATTTAAGTGTTTTGCCGCAGAATCCAAAGCAGTGAGTCGGCCAGGGCTCAAACCCAGACCTTTCGATCCGGAGAGCATGGCACTAACATCACTAACCAGCTAGTTACTGCGTTTAATCTATCTCCTTTAAAAAATTTCATTTCTAAGTTCACTGAAATAATGCTGAAGAAAATAAGATACCTTACCCACAATCTACTACTTCGTTATCCACACAGTTTGGAAGGACGCTGCAAGCCTAAAAAGAGAAAATTTCTTCCTTCAACACATTTCTTGTTAAACCAGGACAGTCTGAAAATAGTTGAATTACCCCGAACAAAAGCAGTTTTCCTTCAGTCATTCAAGCTAACCTTAAACTACAAAAACACACAGAGAGTTAGGATAAAAACAGAGCTGGAATAGTAAGGAAGTTCAAATTTTTACATCGCATACACAAGAATATGCGAGAAACTGGAACTGAGCCGTCTATCATGGGCTATAGAGAATTCTCTTAAAGTTGAATGCGCGAATTACTTTTCCGATCCAGATATTAAGTCACCCCTTAAAGAAAATCTGTTTACGCGTATGGAATAAATTGGGACCTAATGTAGAAACACCACCATGTCGATTCGGATATGTATGAGTCTCTCACTCACTAAGGTGTAAAAGCTGTGGTAATTATTTGTCACAAACTTGCCCGAGCAAGGGCAAGCGATAGGCCTTTACACCTTCTGTTTGAAAAAAGGCTATTCTGCTCAAAAGAATTGGCCCCCCCAAAACACTATTCTGCTCGAAAGTATGCTCCAAAAGTACTATGATACTCGAATTTTGTAAAAATCGATATTCCTGGGTTCAAAGTGCTCAAACATGAAGGATGAGACATTATTTCACCCGTCTAGGATTAGGCTATACCAAAATGTGTGCATTTTGTAAGAAATGTACAACTTTTTTAGAGACATGTTTCGGCATGCTTACGCCATCTTCAATCAATGAGTAACTGAACGTGAGTAATTATATAACAGACAAGTAGATGAATAAAATATTTACAGTATGATGCCAACAACTCAATTGATTTAAAACTTAAAGAAGCTTTTTATATAAGATCAAACCTGAACTTAACAAACAATTACAGCATTATAACACTTTTCTAGAATTTTAGTTCACACCTTTAATTTCATGTTTGCTGTCACGCTGTAATTAGTACCCGCTTTTGTATTACATCATACTGTAAATATTTTATTCATCTACTTGTCTGTTATATAATTACTCACGTTCAGTTACTCATTGATTGAAGATGGCGTAAGCATGCCGAAACATGTCTCTAAAAAAAGTTGTATATTTCTTACAATATTTATCCTACTTGCTACTACTACGACCTTATGTGTGCATTTATTATTTATTCATTTAATCCTTAAAACTAGCACGGGTAAGAACTTTTTATAATCTAAAGAGTCTGAGACAACTATGAACCATATCAGAAATGCCTTTGTCCATCCAATGTCACTACTGCTAACATTACTAACTTGAACACTAGGTTCCGCCATCCGGTTGTTTTGCACGGATGCTCCTGTCCAGACACGTACCCAGGCCCCAGAATATGCAAGATCGCCAAAACTGGCCGTTTCTGTTCGGATTATCCCCTAAATATATTTTCTGCTCCTGAGGCCATATTATGCAAGAAATTTATTTATTTATTTATTTATTTATTCCATTTCACTGCAATTACATGGGGAAAAAACAAAAGAACACACAATAATAACAAATTGGATTACAAAACAAGGCAGTCGGGAAGAATAGAAGGGAACTGACGAACCATACGCGCTTGTCAACCCATTATGAAGAAAATATACGGATATATAAAAACTTAATCAAGGTATGTAACTAGCTAGCTGCTAACTACCCAACTGAGTAATCTAACTAACTAACTAACTAACTAACTAACTAACTAACAACCTTACTAACTAAGTGCTGCTTTAGCCCAGGTGGTACAGGGATGCTCAGGGTCGAAAACCCTATCGTTATAAAAAATAGTGCATAGTCTCTTAATCTCTCATCTGAACAAAATTGAAAATACGAATTAAGTGAAGAGTTAAAATGCCCGCACTTCAGTTTATAAAAAGTTGAAAGATCCTTTACTTCTCTGCGGTAAACCAGTGGTAGCAGGTTGAGACGTTTTAGCAAGGCTCGAAATTGCGACCGATACGGTCGCCAATGCGACTAAAACTTTTAACTTGGCGACTAAAAGTTCGAGTTTAGTCGCCACTCTGGCGACTAAACTAACTTCCTCTGATAAATAAAAGATTGTAGATGAGGAAAATTTCTTAAGCCTCGTTTCTGCGTTTCTGCTTTTCTGCCGAAGGAAATGCAAATTAAGTCTGTTCACCTTTAGGCTAAAACTCAAAATGGCTTTGAAAATTGCGTCTTCCGAGACGACATATTACAGTGGCTTCTTCATGGTGATCGCGGGCGCAATATTTTGTTGAAAAGCCTCTGAATTTAAAATTAATCCGTTGAGAACAGGAGGTCTGGTACTAAATGCCTAACGTGTATTAGCTGAGATATTCTGTAGCATCCTGGGTCTGCAAAGGTCTCATTCCACAACCATTGCCCTGACAACCTCAACTGCAATTTTTTAAGCATCAAATACTTCATTTTCTTTTTCATAATTAATTTGTTTTTTTTTGTGGGACTGTTTGAATGCATGCATCAGAACATAGACTATGCCTGCCCCTAGTGGCTGTTTTAAATCTACATGACTATTTTAATTTAATTTAATTTAATTTAATTTATTCCATTTCACTGCAATTACATGGGAAAATAAAACAAAAGAACACACAATAATAACAAATTAGGTTACATAACAAGGCAGTGGGGAAGACTAGAAGGGAACTGACGAACCATACGTGCTAGTCAACCCATTATGAAGAAAATATACGGATATATAAAAAACTTAATCAAGGTATGTAACTGGCTAGCTGCTAACTACCTAACTGAGTAATCTAACTAACTTACTAACTAACAACCTTACTAACTAAGTGCTGGTTTAGCCCAGGTGGTACATGGGTGCTCAGGGTCGAAAACCCTATCGTTATAAAAATTAGTGCATAGTCTCTTAAAAGAAGAAACACTACAGCTAGCCGTCCTCAACGCATCAGGCAGATTGTTCCATAGATACGGAATCCTATTAAAAAATGTTCCCTTAAAAAGTTCCGTCCTGAATCTATTAATTCTTAGTTTATTACTTGCATGCGATCTTAATCTCTCATCTGAACAAAATTGAAAATACGACTTAAGTGAAGAGTTAAAATGCCCGCACTTCAGTTTATAAAAAGTTGAAAGATCCTTGACTTCTCTGCGGTAAACCAGTGGTAGCAGGTTGAGACGTTTTAGGCGTTCATTATAGCTAAAATCGGGTAACATAAGCCGAGTCGCACGTCGTTGCACCCCTTCTATTCTTTTTATCATAGTAATTGATTTTGGGCTCCAGATTTCAGAGGCGTACTCAAGGTGAGAACGTACGAGAGCCACATAAAGGGATCTCAGAGTTGGTAATAAAATTTTGCTTCCGCTGATAGTGCGACGAATAAAACCCAGCATTTTGTTAGCCTTGTTTACCTGGGCTTGGATGTGATCATTGAAGCTAGCTGTATCTGACATAAGTACCCCGAGATCGCGCTGGGCTCTCACCCTGCTAAGAGCCTTCTCTCCCATTCTGTAGTTGCAAATTATGGGGCTGCGTTTCCGTGTTACTGTGCAAAGTGAGCATTTGTCAACATTGAAGGCCAGCTTCCAGTTGTTACTCCAGTCAACCAGCTTGTCAATTTCGTCTTGTAGCAAGGCACAGTCAGCATAAGATCTTATGGTGCGGAAGCACTTAGCGTCATCAGCAAACAGAGCCAATGTGCTTGAGTGAGATAACGCACTCGGCATATCATTAATAAACAAAACAAATAAAGCAGGTCCAAGTAGAGAACCCTGTGGGACTCCTCAGGTGACAAGTAACCAATTTGAGCTTTTACCATCAATTACTACTCGCTGTAGCCTATTGCCAAGGTAGCTTATGAACCAGTGCAACAATGATCCCTTAATTCCAGACTGATCCAGCTTTCTGATTAGATGTGCATGAGATACTGAATCAAATGCCTTGGAGAAATCCGAGAAGGCGACATCAGTTTGTTCGCCATGGTCGATTGTTCTGACCATCTGATGTACTGTGTCGAGGAGCTGAGTGATAGTAGAGCGTCCTTTGACGAAACCATGTTGCATGGGATAGATTTTATCGGCAATAAAGTTGGAGAAACGATCAAGAACAATGCGCTCAGTAATCTTGGATAAGGCTTAACAGTGAGATTGCTCTATAGCTACAGACATCTTCGTTGTCACCTTTTTTACAAACAGGAACAACGTTTGCACGCTTCCAACCTTGTGGGACACAGCCAACTCTTAAAGAAATATTAATTAAACTGGTTAGAGAAGCTGCAATTTCAGACGAACATTCCCGTAATATTCTGCCCGGTATTTGATCAGGGCCACACGCCTTGGATGGGTCAATGTTTTTCAGCATTTTTAACACTTCCTAGATTGATGCTTGAAAAGAATACAATTCATTATCTTGTGCAGTAAAAGTGGTTGTTGTTTCTACTGTATGTAAATCGGGCTTCAAAAACACGGAGGCAAAAAAGTGATTAAATAGATTTGCCTTGGCCGAGGGGGTTGAGGCTTTAGCACTACCAAACTGGACAACTTTTGGAATCCTTGCAGACTTTGTTTTCCATCTATAAAAGTTCCAAAACTTTTTTGGATTATCCTTTAGATCGGCTTGAAGTTCCTTTGGGAACTCACGGTATTTACGTTTCGTAGCGGTTTTGATTTGTTTACGTATTGACCTGTAATTGTCCCAATGCACGGCCGAATTAGACCGTTTTGCTTGTTTCCATAGTCGTTTCTTCTTCCTTGATAGTTTGACAATTTCACCATCAATCCATCTTGGAGATTTCGCATCTTTAAGCTTGATCTTTGGTATTTACGACTCAACGACATTCAAGAATAAATCACGCCAACTTTCCCAACCTTGATCAACATCACTTTCATCAAACCCCAAGTCTAGAGAAGTAACTGAGAGTGCTTGTCTCAGCGCATCAAAATTAGCTTTCTTAAAGTCGTACGAATAACGAACAAGACGCTCTCTTTTGACTTTGGTTTTAATAAGGAAAGCGAGTTCAAGATGATCCGTGGCGAATTGACAATCGAATGTCTCCATTTCACATACACGTTCGGGTTGGTTAGTAAAAACGAGGTCAAGAATATTCTCTGCGTTATCTGTGATTCTTGTTGTGGAATGATTCATCTGTGTTAGAAACGTGACACTGACGATATCGCAAAACATATTTGGAAGATTATCTAAGCCCGGAGCTGCTTCAAAGTTCCAGTGGATATCAGGAAAATTAAAGTCACCGCAGAGGAAAAGTGGGGTATTCAATTCCTCGTGTGACAGAGATTGTTTGAGCTCCAGCAAATATTCGCTATTAGTCGACGGAGGACGGTAAAACCCATAAAGAAGGAACTTATTGGCCTTCGTCGGATTGACTTCAGCAACCACAAGCTCACAATTTGTTTCTATATCCCGGCGACGTAGGGATGACATATTGTCTCTTATAGCAATCAAAACGCCTCCGCCTCTCCTATCCTCTTCCGTCCGTGTCGCGACGATAAACATTGTAACCTCTCGGAAGGAATTCATGATCCAAAATGGCGGGTGTAAGCCAAGTTTCGGTAATCATTAAAATGTCAACATTATCGGAATAGATCGAAGCCTGGAAATCTGTTAGCTTATTACGAGAGCAGCGGGCATTTAGCAACATAGCTGATAAATTTGAGGTATGTGGCCTCAAGGATGTACTCGGTCCTGACATCGGATGAACATCACCGCAGCAGATAAGCAGGTCGAAGCTCGGGTTGAAGGTAGCAGTTGTGTTGGGATAAAAGGCTATTCTCCTCGTAAGAAATTTCTTTCTAAAGCACCTGGTGGAGCGAAATAATCTTCCAGAACATGTGGGATTGGTTTGAGACTGTTCGCGAAGTTCAGCAACAAATACTGCAAGCACAAGTAGGGAGCACAAAAGAACGCGTGTGGCCGCCATATTTGCAATTAGATGCAAATTCTGCCAGCAGAATGTGTAAAGGCCTGACAAGCGATGGCGAGGCTTGTTACAATTTACTCCTAGCATTGTTGCTTTAATGCCATCTTTCGAGTGAACGAAAAGATGTTAGGTTCAGGCACAAGCCCAACAAGAACCATGGGAAACGTTATAGTTTATTTCTTACGACTGGAAATTTATGAAAGGAATGCCCTTAAAGTCATCTTTTTCTCGTTTCACAAGAATACCCGAAAAATCAGTGGACTGTTTGAAGTCTCCCCCAGCACCATGATCGTGCTTTCTGCATGCCGAATTTGCTGTTGCAAATTGAACCCAAGTGTAAATGAGAAAAAAATGTTTTTTTACAGAGGAACATGCTTGTCCCGCTCCATTTCGTTGAGGGACAAATTTGCTCTTCTCAATTCTCATACATTTTTTAACCATGCAAATGCAAGCGCAGCTAGATTTTTGCACGATGGATCAAGCAAACCACAAATATTACTTACGACTTTGGCAAAAGTCTTGCAGGTACTGTTCCTCTTCGAGGCATCGTTTTCATTTTTATCTATGGAGGCCTGCATATGATGCGTCTTCTCCACTGAAACTAGAAGGATTAGCAAAGTGCGTTCAATTCTTGTTTCCTCATCGCTCAAAGTTCATAATAAGTGCTCATTCCGGGACCAGAAGCTCCTTGTAATGCCATTAATATCAAATTCGCTTATGTATGAGGGGCTAGCCATGCCCGTTTGGCATCTGGGGGTTTTGCTCAATTGAAAGTTCACCCCAATCGCGACACGTGCACCCCGCAAAACATAATAAGTTACCATCTTACCATCTTGCCCCTAGATCTTGCAACTCGTTTGCCTACCGCAAAACATGTTCCTTTTTCGACGAAATCATAATTTACTTTGATTGACATATAAATTGTCTGTGAAAAGTTTTCAAAGTTCAATCAGTATGCAAATTTCTCGCTTCGTTAACTCACTAGCGAGTGCAGGACTAACTTAAAGCGGCTACATTTTTTCAGCCTTACTATACCTTCTTGTTGGCCTCAAATGACTATAAACCAATTTACCAAAACATTCTTGATAGCTTGTAAGTTTCCAATCCCTCTCCGTCAAAGTGGACGCTCACAATACACGTGGATTTAGCTGAAAGTATGTCTAACCATGAAATTTGCAAGTCAACAGCATTAGGTTAGACAAAAATGAATCTCTTTTGCCATAGAGAAACGAGTTGAAGATTTAAGCGTGAACTGGCACACAGTCGAGACCATCTGTAGATGGTCCCTCCAAGATGACAACGAAACTGTGAAATCCAACTGATGGTAGATGAATTTGGCAGCTGCCGGACAATCTTATTAAGAGAATACTAAACGGAAGTACCATCTCAGTAGTCTACGCTCTCCGCAGTCAAACGCAACACCTAACATTTTCTTAGAGCTCAACTATATAAAGTTCTTCTTTTAACTTCATAAAAATTGTTTCAGCTACGAACAAACAAACTCTTAAAGCGGGTAAATCTGTAGATTGCTTACATGTGACACAATCACTATTATCGTGCACAACCTGGCGAGTTTCTGGAATGAAGAAACTCACTTCGAACGACGTTCGAGGACGTAATTATGCATTTGCCTGTTCTGAAATTACTTTCAGAGGTAGCTTCAAAAGCTACCTCATGAGGTAACTAGCTAGCAAACACTCTCATCTGTTACACTGACCCTATTTAACTCACCAACTTGTACGGAAACCACCACAGTCCCATTCCCCACATCATTTGTGGCCAAACAGGTATATGATCCACTATCACGACTTTCCATTCTTTCAAACAACCACGTTTTTCCCGTTTTTGTTCTGCCGTCGTCACTGACCCAATTGTACGCTGGTAAAGGGTTTCCCGTCATAGGGCATTCAAGATAAAATGGTTCGTTTTCAAACGCAGTAACTTCTGTGGGACCGCTCCTTTCTGGTTTATCTAGAAACAAGAGAGTCACTCCTAAAGAATATTACAATCACAGCAAATTTTATAACACCACATCTTTCTGTGATTTGTTTGAAAAAAACAATAACGCATAATTGACCAAGCGTCGGGTCAAAATGGCTGGAAATTTACTGGGTTCTTTAATGCATTTTTATGGACCGAGACGCAGTCGAGGCCAACAAAATAGCAAAAACGGAACGAAGATAAAATCCAGCCATTTTGACCGCACAAACTTGATCAAAACTTCTCAGATAGCAAATCTACTTCGCTCTAATGAGAATCAAGAATGACTTGTCTATTTTCGTGCTCTGGGAAAGAAAGCCAACTGTAATGGCACATGCTCGTTTTTCATTCGACAAATTTTTTTCACTCTCACTCTCTTTTTGCGACTCTATTCCCGTCACAGACCAAAAATTACAAACTTTGTTAATCCACCCAACACAATGTTTTTCTTGCGAGGGATCAAAGCCGGCAATCCCCTCCGGCCAAGATGAACCCATTTTGCCTAGTCAGACAGCCAATTACAACACAGGATTCACTTCATCTTACCCACGGATGCCGCCAGCTATACAATGATTAGTTTTTGTATCTCATCACAAATGATGCTTTAAAAAAAAATTGTTTTAAAATTGTACCACAAAGATTAGGAGAGACGATGTCACTTGGAACAATACACATGCCTTTATGTCAAACAACAACACAAATTTCATAACAACAGTATTAAAGAGTGATGTGTACGATAAACAGTTCCTTCTGTATCAGGAGGAGTGTGTTTCAGGGTGTTAAAATATACGTTTAAAACTTTTCTAGTTCTATTTAAATTCGCAGCTCATACTCTGAACAAAAAAAAAACCTTTTCATCATGTCCATTTAACAAAAAACTTTCAGCAATGTATTTCACGCGCACAGTGACAGAGCAACTCATTATTACTTGACGCCAAGAAAGAAATTGAAAACCATAGTTCTGATTTATCATTGTAGGTAGGCAAAATTTCCGTAAATTCAGAAAATTCTGTAAACCATTAGTATAACTGCGATTACACATGAAGGATAGGCAGCCGTAGTTAAACTGTATATGCAATCCTGTTCTCTCCATGACGAACTTAAAACAATGGCATATTTAAACATAAATGAAAATAAAATTTAGTAAAGAAAGGAATTGCAGTTGATTAAAAATTCAAATTCAGTGGTAGAGGAAGAGACAGTGGCTTAATGCAAGACAAATGAAAACTGAAAGTATGAATACTTTTCCAAGCATTTACAAAGATCAACTTTGAAAAACTGTACTTCAAATAGAGTGTCAACGCTACAAGTGCAGCTTTCCGGATTCCTAGTGGGATCCGTTCCAAAAATTGTTGACAACCGTCGGACTATGAAATGTATGGAATGGTAGTCATTGAAAAGCAACTTTTAGTATCACTTGGGTAATGGCTATATTAAACAACCTTTTGAGGATGAATAAGATTAAAATTCCTACAAAGTGCAGAATTAAACTTGGTTTAGGAGAGTCAGGAGTGAAACTGTTTAAACTTACTTTAGTTGACTAGGGTGGATCACTGGGGTCTTTCTCTATGGCTTCAGTAAAGAAACAACACCCTCATGGGCTCAATTGATAAAAGCGCTGGTTATTAAGTTTAGAAATTATATCTGCAATACCTACGATTTCTGTTGTTTAGAAAGAAACTTTAGGAACACACATCATTAAACTGTTAAGTGCAGCCATGTAACTCCCAAAGGACACAACTTAAGAGTGTACCCTCGAATGACACCAAAAGTGTTGCAGCATTTTGAGTTAACTGTAACCAGTTTGGCAGGTTAGAAGAAAAGAGGGCCATTTTACTTTCTCTTGTTGTTGGAAGAACAATAAAGAAAGTTCACTCTTGTAAAAAAATACCGTATGCCTGTCTCCTGAAAAGGAGATTAATTAAAACCAACAGCTAACAGCACTTTTAATTTTCTGTAGTTACAAGAGAAATAGCTACAACTGCACACTTCAAATATATGAACATTACTGTGGAGTGGCTCGCAAGACATCGGTATTCTCCAGTCTGAGTTCTTCTGATCTTGGTTATGTTTTAAGTGCTTCTGTGCCTGACATCACCAGTCCCAACATTCTTACGAATCACAGTTGGACGGAAAGTACCTTCAATTACAATACTATTCTTGGTCAAATTTTTACCTCCTTCAAATTTTCCACCTGCAGGAATTGGATCTGGAAGGAAAAAGTAGAATGAAGTTGTTGTTATTGTTTTAAGAAGATTAAGTGATAGTGCATGTTTACATTCTAATGGTATGAAGGCACATGGAAAATTGCCACAGGAAACTCTAAAGGTATTAATACTTTTCCAAATCCGAAAGCTCTCAGTTCGTGCGATGTGTACATTTGTTCCTTTTGAATAACTGAATATGATGATCAATTTTCGTCGCTATCCTCAGAAACTTTGAACATCTATGACCCAAACAAACAGACCCAATACAAAAATCTCACATTCATAGAATATCTCCAAGTTGATAATTTAATGTAAGAAGAAACCACTTATCATGGATGCAGGAGTAAGTATGCCATTTAGAAAACATACTACTCCTACTCTGTTGGAAGTAGCTGAAGTAGAAATTAGGAACAAGAAAAAGAACTTGACTTACAACACGACTTGTGATTTTTTAACAATTGCCCACCACATATATGTTAAAACAGGACGCGTATATCGGAAGTTATCAATTACACTTGCCTTCAACTGTCAGTGGAACAGTTTCTGTGCTTTCCGTAACTCCTTTAACAGATTAATTTGCCCCGCATCTGAACTCTGAGGGACCATGAGTTGTCACTGTTTTGGAACAAAACTCCTGAATTCCTCGTGTTTTTATCTGTGGTACCATTTATATTCAGCAAGTGAGCATGTAATGGTGGGTTGGTTCTAGCGGTACATTTGAAGTTTACGACGCCTCTTGCACAGATTTTGTTGCCTGTTTAAGTTGTGCTTTATGTTAACATGGTCAGGGGGATCGGTAGAGAGATAATGAGAGATAATGGAAGTCACCAGTAGTTGCACTTGTAAAATGTACCTACTCCACTTATGATGACCACTGACACCGTTCAATACATAACCACCTGGATTGATTTCTTTCAGGACCGACACTAAAGATAAGTAGAACTTGGTTTGCTGTTTTTTTTTTTTTTCGTATCCTCAAAGTGTTTGCCGCACCAAGTGTATGCTAGCTTTAGGCCGGCAGTAGAGCTACCATGATAAGCCGTAAGGTATGAATTTCCAAGCAAGGGTGACCTTGAAAAAGACTGTCATCCGTAAAAGCGGCTGAAAGTTTGGAAACCTTTGGCTAACAGGTGGTTAGTTCCGCTCGGTCAGAGTTGTGTAAAGTAAAGGTCAAATTGAAAAACTGTTGGTAGGTATGTTGAAGGAGAAACAGCTGGCTGAAACAGTGTGCCGTACAAATATACTCACAAGACAAACTGAGGAAATGCACAAACATTATGACTCATGTCTCAGAAAATGAGCATGTCAATGTACCAAAAGTAGGTCAACTCAGGTTCTATCATTTATTAGACTTTCCATTTTCTTTCCGAGATAAGAACATCGTTTATTTCAATATAACCATGCATAGCTTTGTTCAATATCTAATTTTAAAATTAACTAGACAACTTTACAAATTAATTCGTAACAGCTACTACATAAAACAAGAACTTCCAAATTCAAACGAAAACTAAGTAGTACAGATTCAAAAAGCACACAGCAATCTTTACAAACTGTTTGTCACAAGAAATATATAAGTTAAAAGACAGGAGAAGATGAAGAAAACTTAATGATTAAATTTGTAAATGATCCGAATACCAATGAGCACTAGTAAATAGCAGTTTATTGCATACATTACAATGCAATGTGATAAATTTGTGCATCAGAAAAAGTACAAGTCAACCTACAATTAAGGTCACTGTCAACATAATCTGGTCAAAATTTTCAAAAGTTTGCTCTTTAGTCCGAGAAAGCAGTTAGGACTTATTCCGGACGGAAAAAAGAAAAGTCTTAAAAAAAAAAAAAAAAATGCGAGAAACGGCTTAAAAAATATTTTTGGGGAACCTGTACCGAAGAGCCAAAGGTATAATAACCGGAAAGGCCTCCAGCAGAGTGTTGACGTTTTCCACGGGCTTTCGTCGGGATCTCGATTTCAGGGTTCGTACCCTTTTTTGGACTAAAAATTCAAGGACTTTTCAAGGACATATTTTTTATTTTTCAAGGACTCCACCAACTGCAAAATAAAAGAATGTTCACCTTATCATAGTAGCGATTGTGCCGAGCTTAAGTCGAGCTAAAAGTCTATGCCTTTTTTAGTTCATCCACAACATTCGCAATTTTGCACTCAAGGTCTTTGCGAGCTATCTCCTTTTCTTTTGCAGTTCTCCTCAAACTATTTGACTTTGTAATCCACACAAGTTTCCCAGTGTCCTCTGCTTTCTGTGCAAACTCGTCTGCCGATTTAACAAGATTGTCAACATCACTGTCTAAACGCCTTCTTTTCTTTTTAAGTTCGTCAAGTTCATCGACTAGCTCCTTTCGCTTCAGTTCTACACCCTCAGAGGTTTTCTTCCTCTTTTGTTCATCAAGATATGATAAATACTTCTGCCTAGCTCCTGCAGCTGACAAAAGAAGTGGTTTGTTGATTGAAACAGCAAGGACACCTCCCACAGATTGTACATGGTCTTGTACCAGCCTTTGAGCAATGAAGGAGCGCTCTTGGAGGTTCTCGACTTCCAGTTGCTTATTGACTGAGAATCCTCTTTCGACACTGGCCTGGCCATGTGATAATATCAGTAGCTCTGAGACTACTTTCCACAATGATTGGTAGGATCGCTTCTGTCCCATGTGAAGATACAGAAAGGAATCAAGTCTATCATTGTTAGGATCATAGTCTTTGAACTCCGACGGAGAAGAAGAGGGGACTTCCATAATGAATTGTCTAAATAGTTCCAAAAGGGAATCACATTCACCTTCCGGGACTTTCTTGGCATTTTCAAGGGTAGTCAAAACTCTCTTGAATTTTGTGATGGAAACATCATGGTCACTCATCATGTTTCTTGGATCTAAGCAATTTATATTCCTTACAAGGGAATACTGAATTGGTGCTTTGGCAATCAGTTTGCAAACTACTTTCATAAGGAACTCCTTGCATTCCATCTGAAACTGAAGCACTCTTTTCTCTGAAACTGTGGACTTTGCAATCGACTCCTTGATCTTCTTGTCAGCTGTAAACCCCAGGTCAATCTTGGAATGAGAGGCATGAATGCTGGAGTCAGCAGGGTCAAGTTTTGTAAGCTTCAATGGGGTTTTGGCTTCACTGATAACAGTGGTCTTAATAAATCTTCTCATTAATCCCCCAAGCATGCTGTACAGGTCTGTAGCCAGGAAAGGAAGCATAGGCTTGTCGGTTTGATAGAGTGTCAAAAACGGTGTCACTTGCTTGGCTACTGATAGGAAGAAAGCGACTTTTGCAGTCGTAAAGGGATCTGCAACAAACTCTTGTACAGTTTCAAAGGATTTATTCTGTGGCTGTGGAACTTTTCCTGCCCTTGCACTCTGAACATACTTGACAACACTGTCCCACATACTCTGTGTACGTTCTGCAACCAAGACATTCTCCAACCACCTATGTTTGCAGAACTTCAAAGCAAACAGTGAGTTTCCTGTTACTTTGGTGTAGTCCTCTCTCCTTGCCGGACTGTCCTGAAAAAGCCAGTGAAGGCTAGAGAACAACCTGTCTAACTGCCATCCTGATGCCACAGCACCATCCTTGAATGCTCCATGAAGAATGTGTAAACCACAGCTGCCAATGTTCAGCATGTGACTATTATGCTCCCTTTTTGCCTCATCAGTCAGCATACTGTAAAATTTCCAATTAACGTTGGGTCCATCCATTGACAACTAGTATGAGAGAAAACATTCCTTGTAATATTGAAAGGGAAACAGATTATTTAATTTAGTACTTGCATTACGTCCCAGAGTTCGTGTCATTGTCCACCTAGACACGAAGTGAACTAGTCATGGATGCATTGGAATTGTGAAGATTTGCAATGAAAGAGTGTTGATTTATTTAGACCTTAAAGGGCAGAAAACCAAGTAAGGTGTTTCATTTCTATTTAATACAATTTTATCGCTTTTTGGAACATTGGCTAGATTGTGAACGCACAATTTATATTACATGCAATAAATTAGATTAAGTAATCTTGCATCTTTCGCCCTTCTACAGCAAAATAATAACAGACATTGAAAGATTTTCATGTTAAAAAAAATTTAACGCAACTTCTTGTAATTATCGTTCGCCGGCGAACGATGAAATTAAATGCCAGTCATGAAAACAATATAATTGATTCCAATTTGATCACACCTTTTTAATAATGGCAAGACATAGGTCTTTCAAAAGAGTGGCAATATGACAAAGAATAATTGAAATTAGGTAATTGTGTGAAGACTAAGTTTGTGCTATTGCCTATTTCGAAATGTCGATAATTGAGGGTAAGAAATAATACAACTTCAAAGAAGCATATCTTGCAAACAATTTCATGGATTACCCAAACATAACGAGAGTTGCATCCTACCTGATAAACTTTTTTGAGAGGAATTCCTTCTATGCCTGAACGAAAATGAGAAAGCATGTCCTCTGCTGTTCCATGCCCCATAAACACTGAGGTATAATAGCGACTTTCAACTTCGTGTTTGTCATGATTCCATGAACGAATGTGAATATCCATTTGCTTTGACTGGCACACGCTATTCAGGCTCTCGTCAAACATAAGTACATAAGCTTCTTCTTTTTTCACAACGTCCNAGCAATGAAGGAGCGCTCTTGGAGGTTCTCGACTTCCAGTTGCTTATTGACTGAGAATCCTCTTTCGACACTGGCCTGGCCATGTGATAATATCAGTAGCTCTGAGACTACTTTCCACAATGATTGGTAGGATCGCTTCTGTCCCATGTGAAGATACAGAAAGGAATCAAGTCTATCATTGTTAGGATCATAGTCTTTGAACTCCGACGGAGAAGAAGAGGGGACTTCCATAATGAATTGTCTAAATAGTTCCAAAAGGGAATCACATTCACCTTCCGGGACTTTCTTGGCATTTTCAAGGGTAGTCAAAACTCTCTTGAATTTTGTGATGGAAACATCATGGTCACTCATCATGTTTCTTGGATCTAAGCAATTTATATTCCTTACAAGGGAATACTGAATTGGTGCTTTGGCAATCAGTTTGCAAACTACTTTCATAAGGAACTCCTTGCATTCCATCTGAAACTGAAGCACTCTTTTCTCTGAAACTGTGGACTTTGCAATCGACTCCTTGATCTTCTTGTCAGCTGTAAACCCCAGGTCAATCTTGGAATGAGAGGCATGAATGCTGGAGTCAGCAGGGTCAAGTTTTGTAAGCTTCAATGGGGTTTTGGCTTCACTGATAACAGTGGTCTTAATAAATCTTCTCATTAATCCCCCAAGCATGCTGTACAGGTCTGTAGCCAGGAAAGGAAGCATAGGCTTGTCGGTTTGATAGAGTGTCAAAAACGGTGTCACTTGCTTGGCTACTGATAGGAAGAAAGCGACTTTTGCAGTCGTAAAGGGATCTGCAACAAACTCTTGTACAGTTTCAAAGGATTTATTCTGTGGCTGTGGAACTTTTCCTGCCCTTGCACTCTGAACATACTTGACAACACTGTCCCACATACTCTGTGTACGTTCTGCAACCAAGACATTCTCCAACCACCTATGTTTGCAGAACTTCAAAGCAAACAGTGAGTTTCCTGTTACTTTGGTGTAGTCCTCTCTCCTTGCCGGACTGTCCTGAAAAAGCCAGTGAAGGCTAGAGAACAACCTGTCTAACTGCCATCCTGATGCCACAGCACCATCCTTGAATGCTCCATGAAGAATGTGTAAACCACAGCTGCCAATGTTCAGCATGTGACTATTATGCTCCCTTTTTGCCTCATCAGTCAGCATACTGTAAAATTTCCAATTAACGTTGGGTCCATCCATTGACAACTAGTATGAGAGAAAACATTCCTTGTAATATTGAAAGGGAAACAGATTATTTAATTTAGTACTTGCATTACGTCCCAGAGTTCGTGTCATTGTCCACCTAGACACGAAGTGAACTAGTCATGGATGCATTGGAATTGTGAAGATTTGCAATGAAAGAGTGTTGATTTATTTAGACCTTAAAGGGCAGAAAACCAAGTAAGGTGTTTCATTTCTATTTAATACAATTTTATCGCTTTTTGGAACATTGGCTAGATTGTGAACGCACAATTTATATTACATGCAATAAATTAGATTAAGTAATCTTGCATCTTTCGCCCTTCTACAGCAAAATAATAACAGACATTGAAAGATTTTCATGTTAAAAAAAATTTAACGCAACTTCTTGTAATTATCGTTCGCCGGCGAACGATGAAATTAAATGCCAGTCATGAAAACAATATAATTGATTCCAATTTGATCACACCTTTTTAATAATGGCAAGACATAGGTCTTTCAAAAGAGTGGCAATATGACAAAGAATAATTGAAATTAGGTAATTGTGTGAAGACTAAGTTTGTGCTATTGCCTATTTCGAAATGTCGATAATTGAGGGTAAGAAATAATACAACTTCAAAGAAGCATATCTTGCAAACAATTTCATGGATTACCCAAACATAACGAGAGTTGCATCCTACCTGATAAACTTTTTTGAGAGGAATTCCTTCTATGCCTGAACGAAAATGAGAAAGCATGTCCTCTGCTGTTCCATGCCCCATAAACACTGAGGTATAATAGCGACTTTCAACTTCGTGTTTGTCATGATTCCATGAACGAATGTGAATATCCATTTGCTTTGACTGGCACACGCTATTCAGGCTCTCGTCAAACATAAGTACATAAGCTTCTTCTTTTTTCACAACGTCCTTCAAAAGTTGTTTGAAGTGTGGAGCGAGCCCAAAACAGATCAAGTATGCACATTTCTTTTCTCCGCATGTAAACTGACTCGCGATCCGACTGTCAGGAAACATCGCTTGAAACAATTTGCTCGTACCTTCGCATGATTTATAGGAGTAATGAGACATTATCACCTTCAATGCCCACAAAATTTCTGCTTTCAAAGTCTCATCACGAGTGACAATTCTTTCCATCACCGATGAACCAGATGAACTCGTAGTACTAGACTTTGTGGGGTTGAGCGTGTTGTGTTCGCCACTTTCAGACGAAGCGGATTTTGAAACTTCTTTGGCATCGTCACTTGTAGTTGCTGGTTGTTGAGAAGAAACGCCAAAAAAATCTGGAACGCTTGCTAATGACCTTTTCTGGGATGTCAGTGTTTGATGTTTTTTTCCTTTCAAGTGACTTGTGAGCGCTGACTCTCCCATGCTCGAAATGTCAACATCCTTCATACACACGATGCATCGTGCCTTGTGCTTGTCACCCTTGACTTCTCGAAGCCAATCTTTATACAGTGATTTCTGAAGCCACAAGTTGCTGAAAACACACTTGCCCATTGTTTTAAATCTCTCACTCGTGAAACAAAACGCAAACAATCAACACTAACCCAGACAAGGAAAGCACTCAAAGCACATGGCTTTTCTCAGAAAGAGGGAATAGTACAAAACATTTGATTGGCCCTTGACATTCGAGACATTCAACCAATCAGAGTGATTAATAGAACCAAGAACAGGACAAATGGATATGGGCGATTGATCGACATGCGGAGTGGCGTTACGATCGTTTGTTATTTGTATCTTACTATTATGTGTTGCTACGTTTGTGCCAGTTGCATATATTTTCAGATAAGGCACTCTAGAATCTAAGTTGGATTAAATTAGCTACAAATTTCAAGGACTTTCCAGCACTGACTACAATTATCAAGGACTTTCAAGGCCTTGAATTTTTATTTTGAGATTCAAGGACTTTCAAGGACTTTCAAGGCGCGTGCGAACCCTGCGATTTGCACATTTAGTTTACAATGCGTTAGGTACTGAACAACAACAGCGAAGTTCTAGCACAGTTCGCAAAACGCTGAGAAATAGGAGTCTTCATCAAACTGCCGGAAAGAGAAAGTCTTGAGAGAGCCCGAGCTGAAGATATCGAAGTTGAGGTTTTTTTTTTTCTAGCTTTCTTTGCTAATCGCCCACTTTCCCTTTTTTTTCCTCGATCACTCTTTGGATTTCGTTTAATCCGTTGTTTATTCGATTCTCCCGGGAGCCAGGGGTTTCAAAGGGTTTGATGCTGTGTTTCATTGGTCGACGGCAAGACCGCATTGACACGTGCTTAAATGAGGCGCGAAAACAGTGAATTTCTATGGAGGCTAAAAACTCAAGGTTTGTTTTACGCGAGTTACCTCTACTTGAGCAAATTAACGAGGTTTGCAGAATTGTTGCATTTTCATAAAAATTGGCTAGAACTTTCTTTAGAGATTACACGGTTAGTTTCGAAACGCGTAGTTCGTGTATTTTTCATTTATGTTTTGTTCTAGTTCATTCTTATCATTTTTACGTGTAAAAATGTGGCTTTCACGAAATTTGAAATATTTCTCTCATGATGTCCCGGAGCGTGACAAAAACCGAAATATTTTCTATTGCCTAACTTCATTATAGATTTTTTCAGTAACCATACAGAAATATGGAAAAAGCCCCTCACACTTTGTTAGCCTATTAGCTGCCAAGCGGTACGGAGAGGTTGCTTAGAGGTCGGCGGTAACGCAGAGGTAGTAATATTCAGTAAAACAAACAGCGCCAGTTTTGTGTTCAAAGGCTCGCGCGCCCCTACTAGAACAAAAACTGAGAAAAATTTTCTTAGTTTCATAATTAGTATGTCATAAAGCTTTACAGTGCTATATAGTGTTCTATGGTTTTTGTTAAAAGTAACGCACGTAGGACGATTTTTTGTTGACAGTAACCTGAAACTCTAGGTAAAAAAACACCCAAATCAAGGTAAAACAACAAACACTCCAAGCATTTAGCTTAAACTAACAAGACAGAATGATACTTCAAACTGAGGAGGTGTTGAAGGACATCATGAGTAGTAATCAACAAGAAAAGAAATACCCCCGACTGCACATCTTCTCAATCTTTAGATTTTAACACGGACAGTGTATGAAGAAAAGAATTGTGATGACTTGAAGTTTTGCGATTATTTGTCCTGTATATGGCTTCTCGAGCTAAACTTTACAAAATATTTAATACTATGCATAAGTATCATTGACTTACATTGCACATCAATGTACACCATTGCTGAAGTATTCTCACATGTGTTGCTTGCAATGCACTGGTATTCTCCAGCCTTATCTCTGCTGATGTTCAGGAAGGTCAGTAGACTTGTGTTACTGACAACATCGTTAACCTTAGTCCACCAGACGGTTGGATTAGGAATCCCAGTGGCATTACAGTACACTTTAATATCGCTACCTTCTACACCAGATTTTTTACTGGCCTGCCTTAAAGATGGAGGGACTGCAATAAAAAGGGGAAAACACGGTTAGTTTCGAAACGCGTAGTTCGTGTATTTTTAATTTATGTTTTGTTCTAGTTCATTTTTATCAATCAGTTTATCCTTCGTTAGTTAGTGATTATGACTTGATGAGTTCGTTGTTTCAATCAGTTTCATTGAAGCACATTTATTAGATATTGGATTTCATTTTTCATCGCTATACACTCAACTCTCTCTCTAAGGCGGACCCCTCGGTACCAGATTTACTGTCCGCCTTAGAGAGAGTTCACGTAAACTGATACCCGAACATCAAAACTGAAACCAGGGCTTTATTACTTTAATTCAAGTATACAATGTAGCCATGACGGGTTGGCTGTGTCTCTTTTATATATTCCTTACGGAATCCAACACAGATCATACACACTTTGAACATTTGTGAATCAACCTTAACAAAACTTGTGTCCCTTTTTATTTGACATTACGTGGAGTCGGGGTTCATAACCCCCATTCACGAGAAGATTACAACTGCAGTTGAGCTAAACCAAGACGCAAAAAAGCGAAGGAAGAATACAAGTGACTCCACTGATTCCAGTAAACGGCAGCGCAAATGAGTTGTTGTATATGTAAATGACGGGAAAAGTGACTTTAATATTGTATTAAGACATACAGTGTTGTAATATTAAAACCACTGTTATCAGATTGCGCTATATTTTCGAAATTTTGGACCTGTCATAAAATTTCCAAAACATCCGGTGTCCGCTTTGAGAGGATTTTTTATCCAACATGTTGGAGAAAAGTGTCCGCTGTCCGCCTTAGAGAGAGTTCAGTTACAGAGAAACAAGTGAAATTCGGCAGGGAATAAATTTTCTGTCCGCCTGAAAGAGGTGTCCGTTTAGAGAGAGTTGACTGTAAGTTCGATTGCTGCGATCGCTATCAACTCATCATCTGCTATCAACGAATTATCTAGTATCGTTAGGAGCTAGACATCGACGATACTTCCCTTTTCGCCTGTACTACTGGTTTATTTCTCGCATTCAGTTCCCTCTCTAATCGCATCATTGTTGCACAGGTTAGCGTTAGATTTTCCGGGTTATTTAAATTCAGCCACAACCTTTAATCATAACCAGGCAACTTCAATCACAACTTCGTCCTCTCCCTCCGTATTAATTCAACGTGATTTTACAGATGAATAAAGACTGATAGTTTCGAAAGAAACTGTTTGGGGCTGCGTCGGTGGGAGTAACGAAATAACTTGGATATATCAACAAAGTTGAAGTGGTAAATTGGCCACCGTAACGATTACAAAAGCTGACGTTTCGAGCGTTAGCCCTTCGTCGGAGCGGCCATGTTC